ACACACACACACACACACACACACACACACACACACACACACACACACACAAAATAAAACAAGGCAGTGTTGGAAAATGGTTAAAATCAAAAAATAATCTGGATTTTACACCTTCATTTGTGTAAAACTCGATTTTAAAACAGTGAAATTTTTTGCAATGTTGACGAGAAAAAACTGTTTATGTTTTATGTGGATTCTGATAGTGAAACACAGAAAGTGTGCAAATATTCTGATGTTCACATTCAAATACAGGGAAACGCAACCCGGCATCACACCATAGCTGAAGGCAAAACAAAATGAGGTGACACTGAGTAATGTGAGCTACCCTATTCTGTGTCAAGCGCAGTCGGTGTGAACGGGTGCCACCTGTGCAATGATGCCCTCGTTTCCTCCGTTCAGCCTGTGCCTCTCCTGAGATCACGCCGCGTGATGACAGGACGGGCGGCTCTGCACGCCGGCGTGCTCACACATCAATTAAGCAAGGTGTGCGACCCAGGAGCCCAATTAGCAGACAGCCAGCCCAGGCTGAGTGGGCTTCGTGGCTCTCGCGGTAAACAAAGACGACACACCACGCTGCTGTTCCCTCACTAGAAAACTGACAGCCCCACCTGACATTACGCCAAGAAGACAATCATACCCACTGGTTAAAACGCCGATTAAATCCACTTGACGGGCTCTAGGTTTAAAGAGGGCAACGCTGTCTAAACATTTTAGCACGACTCTGCCATTTACCGTTAGCCCGCTAATAGCAAGCGGGTCATAATAAAAGCTAGCGGAGGATCCCCGCTAGCTAAAACTAATGCATTACAACACAGTGATTACCATAACCGCACATATAATATTTAATTTAAAGAACACACTTGTCATAACTTGTACCGTCAGCAACAAAGACAGCCGCGGCAGGCCACGGGCACTGCAATTGAAGGAGCTCACTTTAGCCACTAGCAGGCTGGCTAATGTCCAACTCAAAGCTTGTCAGGACAAAAAAAAAAGTCAGCTTTCCCCCCAGTGAACTCAAACCAGCTCGATTACATTGTAGACTAAATGCGAGATAACCTAAATACCAGAAAAGTACATAACAATAATAGGTGATTGTCGGCCATGCGATCGTTATGAGTAGATTTAATCAGCAGAGCTAGTAAACTGTTACGCAGCTAGCGTTAGCTGATGGGCAGCTAAAACATGCCAGCTTTACAGGAAACACTGGTGAGATTCACAATCACGGCAACGGAGTGGGAGCACACACTGTGTTTGGTCGCTACAAACTAGGCTAACTAGTTACCTACTCGTTTATTTTGAAGGGCGCCATGTTCACAGTCCTCCATCATGGGGACAGGAAAAGAAGCCACGGCTAAGCTAACGGCGTTAGCGCATGTAGTTGCTGGCTAGCTAGCCGCAGTGTTGTCACACAGAGCCTGAGCCATTTTCTCCAGGATTCAAAAAAATAAAATAAAATAAAACTCACCTCCGCCTCCGTGTCACAAGCACAAAGCGCTGCAGAAAATCCGTTGAGGATTGGACTCGAGTCAGCTTACATCAGTAATTTTCGAGCTACTGGGGTCTGTTGGTGAAGGTCTGTGTCCAGCTTGGCTGAGAGGTAAACACGGGGCAGACGGAGCCGAGCGGAGCCACAGGGAGAACTCTAGTGGTGGAATCTGAATCACTGCAACCCGCTACACCTGGAGCCAGCAGCCGGGAGATTTCAGGGCATCTCCGTGTCAGATCGATGTGCGTTGGGGAAGCTGACCTTCAAGGCTGCCTGTCAGACACGCTCCCTGAATCTTTAAAAATTATTTTTTTAACAAGATATTAAAAAAACAAGAAGTTTGACAGTATAAAATATAATATTTTTTCCACTTCAATAAATAAATAAATACGTGTTTTTAAAAAAATTGTCAGATTCAAAAATAAATAGCGTGCTGGGGCTTCTCGAAAAATAAACAAACAAAAACACAATAAAAGACGAAAGCTTGGAATTTGTAAGGTGGTAACAATTTAGAGCAAATTCCAAATTCTTTTTTTTTACTTTAATGAATTAATGGCAAACGATTAATTCATTTATCTAATGTCAGGCTTATAAACATTTTTGGTCTGTATAATTACCTGAATTGCATGTTAAAATAAACGTATTATGTTGTTTTTAGTTATTATTATTACTGTGTATTTATTTGTAATTTTCCATTTCAAGATGGATGAAAACAGTTGGGGGAGCTAGAGGATAAGGCAAACTTATGTTCAAACCATCAAACAAATTTTAATATAAGATAAAGATAACACAAGTAGATACCAAATTGAGTTTTTAAATTATTATTTCAATAATTGGGGGTGGGGGGCTATCCACACCTACCTTGCTCTGTGAGGAAAAGTAATTTGACCCCTACCCATGAAATCATAAGAACATGGTTTAACTGTGATTAAGCACATTAAAAAAATTTTAAACAAATGTTTAATATTATATGGATGAATTATTTTACTACTCTGTGAATATGTTATTGGACTTCTTTCTTTCTATATATTGTGATGATCATTGATCTTTAATAATTTGTAAATAATTTTATGTATTTTAGTGTTGTTTTTGTCCAGTTCACACTGGTTTGACGGTTAATGGAAAATATTTCTGAAGGAAATGTTCATGTTTTTAGGAAGGCTGTAATCATTCAAAAATGATGGCAAACCACATCCTTCCAGTATATCTACAGCATAATGTCACAGATGAGATCATCACTGCCAAACTGGTCTGTCTGCAGTGTAGACCTGCTGTCCAATGAAAAACATTGAACACTATGGATAAAAACGGTCCCATGTGAAAATGTAATTTGATCACTGGCCATTCAAAATTTCTTGACATCAGTTTGTGCCCTGAAGCTGAAGTGCACTTGAGCGATGCTGCAGGACGATGATCCGAAACACATCAGCAAGTCTACAAAATAAAAGCTTTGGAGTGTCCTAATCAAAGTTTGGACTTAAATGAGACTGAGATGCTTTGGCATGACCTTTAACATCCTGTCCATGTTTGAAAACCCTCCAGTGTTTCTTAAAAAAAAAAAAGTTGTGGAATTGCGTAATCAAAGTCTGGATTTAAATCAGATTGAGATGCTTGGGTGTGGTTCTTTTTTTGCATGCAGAATAAAGTGAACCAGAGTCAAATTCCTTTTTTGTGCACAAACTTGACCAAATAAAGATGATTTTGATTCTGACTCAAGAGATTCTGCAATAAGGAGTCAGCCAAAATTGCTCCATGACAATGCAAAAGACTCATCGTTAGTAACAATAAATTCTTGATTGGTGTTGATGTCTGGTACGGGAGGCCCAACCAGTTATTAGGTTTCAGGGATAATTATGTTTTGATGTTGAAAAACAGAAAGTGTGAGAGTGAGTGCAAAGGTTTGAATACACAAGTCAGTTTGTAAGTTCACGAGCTCTCAACAACACTGATTATTTCTTTTATTTAAGCTTCATTTGTTTTAGAACAATGTAAAAGCTGACAACAAAAACAACAAATGGCAGAGATGAGATTATTTTGACTTCTTAAACGTAACAAGCAGATTTTCTGTTTGTTGTTAGCTTTTCAAAAGTAATGATAAAAGTTCACCTCCACTTTAAAGACTGCAGGTGCAAATAGTTTAACGGTTAATGGAAAATATTTCTGAAGGAAATGTTCATGTTTTTAGGAAGGCTGTAATCGTTCAAAAATGATGCACCACATCCTTCCAGTATATCTACAGCATAATGTCACAGAGAGATACCATCTCTGCAAACTGGTCTGTCTGCAGTGTAGACCTGCTGTCCAATGAAAAACATTGAACACTATGGATAAAAACGGTCCCATGTGAAAATGTAATTTGATCACTGGCCATTCAAAATTTCTTGACATCAGTTTGTGCCCTGAAGCTGAAGTGCACTTGAGCGATGCAGCAGGACAATTATCCGAAACACATCAGCAAGTCTACCTCTGAACAGTTAAAAACAATTAAAACGACAATAAAATGAAAGTTTTGGTGTGTCCTAGTCAAAGTTTGGACCTGAATCAGATCATCATGTACCCAAACATGCCATTCATTTTTGAAAAGCCTCCCTTGTTTCTATGATTACATAACTCTGGAAAGTGTGGTGGGCCAAAATTCTCTCAAGATGACGGGAAAGAGTCATCGCCAGTTATTGTAAATGCTTGATTGCAGTTGTAACTGCCAAGGGTGGATCAACCAGTTAGTACGTTTCATTGGGAGCCAAGTATGTTTGGGTGCTGACATGTGGAGAAAGTGTGAGAGTGAGTACAAAGGTTTGCATCATAGGTGTGTTTGTAAGAGATTGAAAAGTGATTACTTCTGTTACTCGTGCTTTATTTGTTTTAGTACAATAAAAGAAACAAAAAAGACAACTATTATGAGAGATTAGATTATTTTCACTGGGTACATGTAGCATGCAGATGTGCTGTTTGTTGCTTAGGCTTTCAGGAGCAGTGATAACAAAAGGTTCACCTCTCCTTGAAACTTTACAGGTAATGGAAAGTTTTCTAAGGAAATCTGTATAAATTGCAACGATGACCCCCAACCACCATCATCCAAGAACGTGACAGCTTCAGTGTGAATGACCACAGCAGACCCGATGGCATTAAAGGGAGTTTTTCCTTCCCACTGTCGCCAAAGTGCTTGCTCATAGGGGTTCATATGATTGTTGGGTTTTTCTCTGTATCTATGAAGCGCCTTGAGGCGACTTTTGTTGTGATTTGGTGCTATATAAATTAAATTGAATTAAATTGAATGAACATGCTTTTCAGCATACTTTATTAAGTATGGGAGGATGCTTCAAAAATGGGATGAGGAGTGGAGAGCAAGCTCACTGACACCAAAGACCCGGGACCCAGCAGAGCCTTGGTTGGTTTGTGGAGACTGAGGGGGTGGTTGTGCCTGTAGAGTTCCTTAAACACTTTAAGGTGTAGGACTGTCACATCAGCACGCATATCAATTTTAAATGACACGTTCTTGTTATTTATGCTTAAGGCAACATTCCACGGTTCATCCTCACACTTAATGCTACCAAGGAACAAACCGTGTTCGTCCTCTTCGACCTCATGCACAGTTTTGGGTGCCCTGCATATGCGCCTGTAATGTCCTTTTTCCCCACATGCATGGCATTTTACTTCTTGTGCTGGACAATCTTGCTTTGAATGGGATGGAGCGCCACCACATTTATGACACGTTGACCCTTTTTTGCTGTCTTCTCGGAACCCACGTGTTTTAGCTTGACGACTATCAGTCTGGAGAGGTTTTGGTTCTAAGAGGCTTACGACTGATTTTATGCACTCTATCTACGGACTGAGCATCGCTAGCCTCAGCTCTAGAGTCACCTTGTTGTCGCTTTACCTCTTCACTTTGCCTCACCATGGTGATTGCCTTCTGCAGGGTCAAATCTGGGTCAAGCCGCGTGCGTTCTGACAGCCGTTTGTCCGTGAGACCGACAACGAGCCTGTCACGTATCAGTTCATCATGTAGCATCATCTGCTAGTGCATACAGTGCAGTCACAGAAGCATCCACCGTCTCATTTTCTCCCTGTCGGCGCATGTTGAATTTGGCATGTTCGTGGATCACATTCTTCTTCACAATGAAAAAAGCCTGGAATCCATCACGTACCCCCACATACGTTGCTCAGCTGTTAAACTCAGACCGCGAAGCACATCGTCCGCCTCATCTCCCATGCAGTAACTTAAAGTGTTGACTTGGTTCTCCTCTTAAGTCACGTTCAAATTACTGGCGAGACAGAACCTCTCAAACTTCCGTATCCATTTGGACCACACCTGCGGCTTTGAAAAGTCGGATGCTGGATGTCACACTCGGCCCTGCCTGCGCTCTCTGTGCAGTTTCATCTGCCATATTCTCCCTCTCGTTTTCAGTGAGCTCCGCAAAATACCGGTTCGTTCAGTCGAGGTTATATGGATCAGTACAGGACTTCTGAGACCATGTAATGTTATTGATTATATGCGGGTCCACTGTGTGATTCATAAACAACTCTTCATTTTTCCGTTCTTACTCTGATCCACATAACATCCCATTATTGTTCAAACCCACGGGTCTCGCCCTCTAGCTGCCTAACTACACTGACTGACTCTAACATCTATGCGATTACACCACAAAGCTGAAGTGCACTTGAGCGATGCTGCAGGACAATGATCCGAAACACATCGACAAGTCTACAAAATAAAAGCTTTGGAGTGTCCTAATCAAAGTTTGGACTTAAATGAGACTGAGATGCTTTCGCATGACCTTTAACATCCTGTCCATGTTTGAAAACCCTCCAGTGTTTCTTAAAAAAAAAAAATTGAGTTCCAAGAGAATTGAGTGATGGTCTCTATCAAGTTACTGTTGCGTGCTGTGTTGTCAGAATAATCGGCGTAGCGGGCGTCTGAACGGTCTGGTGCCGGTGCTGGGAATGTGTAGGTGCGTAGGTTTTCCGCAGTCGGGTTGGGCTACCTCAATCTGGTATTCGTCTGCCTCTGCCGGGTGTCGGTGCTGATGTGTGTAGAGAGGTAAGATAGTATTTGTATTGTCTAATGTGTGTGTGGGTGTCTTTTGTGTGCATTGCCGTTGCGGGTCGGTGAGATATGTAGGCTGGTAAAGGTTTATTGTCATGTCGGGATCGGGTGATAACATGGACGAGTGAAATCTTTTCCCGCGCAGTAGCTGTTTTAGATTAGCAGGGTGTGATTGGAGAGTTGTATGAATTGGTCGGATTCGCATGAGTTGTATGCACTTGTTGACGTTTGTATGTGAGTGAGTGGTGATGAAGGCGAGTCAGGTATATTTTATATTTTGCAAGTTCTGGCTGTTGATGGCTGCAATATAGGACAGTTGCGTCAAGGGTTGTGTTTTGAAGTGACAGCCAAGTTTAGAAAGCTGTTTACGGCTTACAAGAATCTGGATAGAAAGTTATACAAGATGAGACATTTAAGGCAAAAAGAAGAGTGCGGATGGTCTTTATGTGGTTTCTAGTGTGAGCATAAAGAGAGTTTCTGGTGGTTCTTGTGGTGTCATAGTTGATGACGTGCGTATATATATTGCTCGGGTGGCTGTACTAGTTAAGGTGGCGACATTGTTGTCGCACTTGGCTGTCGCTTAAATATAGAAACCAGGCAGCAATTGGGTTTAGTGGTTATTAGTTGTTACAAGGAACGATTCTTTTTGAGTTTTAAGGGTAATGATTGTATATTTATATTGATTTTTAATAATGACAAAATTAAAAAAAGGCATGGGAGACATTTTTTTTTTTGTGTATCGAAAAAATATTCGAAATTTGACCGTGACACAAAAGTGTCGGAATCCGGAACCGGTGAATTGTTGTTGTTTGTATCCGTTGCTAGCCCGCTGGAAGTGATTATTGTAGTGATATTATACGTTTAGGTATTTATTTAGTACGATATTGTATGTGGTATAGTATATTGTTAGTATTAGTGTTATTAGTGTATTTAGTGGTATTTGGATGTATTGTATTTTATGTGGTATTGGTTATTTCTTGTGTTTTAGGAGTGAAGTGAGCAGTTGGTCGGTGAATTATTTATATGAACATATACTCATTTTGAATTTCATGCCAGAACAGTTTTAAGTTTTCTTTTAAATAGAATCTTTTAGAATTTGCTCTTTAAACTGAGGACAGTATTTGTGTCCACAGAATATTTCCTCAGGTGGTTTTATCAAGTCAGTTACATAACACCTCAGTACCTGGTGTTTAGTTGTTTTTGTATGTTTGAGTCAGAGGTTTTTGATTGGGTGCCAGGTCTACACTGCAGACAGACCAGCTTGAGGTGGTTATCTTTTTCTGTGACGTTATGCTGTAGATATACTGGAAGGATGTGGTGCAGCATTCTTTGAACGATTACAGCCTTCCTAAAAACATGAACATTTCCTTCAGAAATATTTTCCATTAACCGTTAAACTATTTGCACCTGCAGTCTTTAAAGTGGAGGTGAACTTTTATCATTACTTTTGAAAAGCTAACAACAAACAGAAAATCTGCTTGTTACGTTTAAGAAGTCAAAATAATCTCATCTCTGCCATTTGTTGTTTTTGTTGTCAGCTTTTACATTGTTCTAAAACAAATGAAGCTTAAATAAAAGAAATAATCAGTGTTGTTGAGAGCTCGTGAACTTACAAACTGACTTGTGTATTCAAACCTTTGCACTCACTCTCACACTTTCTGTTTTTCAACATCAAAACATAATTATCCCTGAAACCTAATAACTGGTTGGGCCTCCCGTACCAGACATCAACGCCAGTCAAGAATTTATTGTTACTAACGATGAGTCTTTTGCATTGTCATGAAGCAATTTTGGCTGACTCCTTATTGCAGAACATGACAAACATCTCCAAGAATTTATTGTTACTAACGTTGATGAGTCTTTTGCATTGTCATTGTGAAGCAATTTTGGCTGACTCCTTATTGCTGAGAGAGGAATGGACAAACATCTCACTGACAGTCACTGAAGTGGATGTTTTACTGTCAGATCCAGCAGAGCCAAAGACCAGAGCTGGATTCTTAAAATATTCACGTGAAATCACACTGGATCCAAACACAGCAAACAAACAGCTGTTATTATCAGAGGGGAACAGAAAAGCAACATTAATGAATCAACAACAGTCTTATTCTGATCATCCAGACAGATTCACTTGGTGTTCTCAGGTCCTGAGTAGAGAGAGTCTGACTGGACGTTGTTACTGGGAGGTGGAGTGGAGAGGGGGAGGAGTTCGAGTAGCAGTCGCATACAGTTACGAAGAATTTCACGATGGTTGAGAGGACAGGAGGCGGAGATTGTGTATGCCAAGATCTTATATTTTTCATTTGTTTGTTGATAGCATTGATGCAACTATTCAAACTGTCTCGTGTCTTCAGGTCCGTTTCGTGTCCTCTCAGTATGTGTTGGTATGTGTTTGTGTATCCGTTGGACTTGCACAAGGAGCGAGGTGAGTGTTTTGTTCGTTGCTATCAGCTATCGTCTGATGTAATAATGAGGTTGAAGTGCACTTGTGCTCGGCTTTCATGGGTTCCAGTACCTTTACATTCAGGTGTTTGTTCAGGCTTCAGTTCTATTGTTTTTCTGGATCTTTGGCCTGAGATGGTGGATTGCAGGAAACTTTTGCGAAAATGGCAGGGATAGATTCTTGATTTATCATCTTCATAGTTATTATGGTCGTTTTGTTTTTTGTTTTTGTTTTTATTACAAGTCTTTTTATCAGTAGGATTGAACAGTGTTTCTAGGTGTAACATTTGCGTATTTGTTTATTAGTTGATCTCTTCATATTTATTATGAAATGAAAATGTAAAGCTTCTCTGTGCTCTTTAAATCATAGGGGAGTCCTCAGAATCCCCGCGTGGTTGTTGCCTCTATGACCGGTTACCGTTCTGGTTGTTTTGTGTGTTTTGTGTGTTTGTGTGAGTGTTTGTTGGTCGTGTTCTGCGTTTGAGTCGTTTTGGTAGCCGTTTTTTGGGTTGTGTGTTTTGTTCTGTTTTTGTGTGGTCTGATTGGTGCCGCCGAGAGTTGAGGCCAATGTGTGAAATTGTATATGTTTTTCAGGGTGGTTGTATCTAGTGGTTCTTAGCGTTATTTTTGTTTATCGTGTCTTTTGATGTGTGTTTTGTTTACGGGTGTTGTGGTTTGTTGGGTGTTTCCTGTGGGTGTCTTGCTGTTCGCACGTGTTGTTTATGAGGATTATATTATCTGTCGTTTGTTTTGTTGTGTCGGTATCCGGTGTGTTGTTTGTGTTGTTTTCTTTTGGGTTTTTTGTTTTGGTGCTTTTGTTTTGTTTGGTTTTTTTGTTTTGCGCGTTGTTGTTTGGACTTGTGTGTGTTTTGGCTGGGTTTTGGTTTAGGTGTTTTTTGGCTGTTTGTTTGGTCTTTGGGGTTTTTGGTTGTTTCGGTTTCGGTGGCGTGGTGTTGGTGGCGGGTTGGGGTGGTCTGTGTTCGTGTGGTGTGGGGGTTGCTGTTTGGTTTTGTTGGTGTTGTTTTAATGTTTGTGGGGGTTGTTGGGAGGGTTTGGCGGTGCTGGGTTGGGATGTATTGAGTTTGTTCTATTTGTGTTTGTATGTTTTTGATGTCCGCTTTGGGATTCACCGTAAATGGTCGGGTTTCCTATGAAAATATTGTCGGGCATAAACTGGTCCGTGGTGCAAAAAAGGTTGGGGACCGCTGATTTAGACTGTATACATTTTAGTGGTATTTTGTATGTTGTTTGTCTCTCTTCTCTTCCTCAGGTGCTATAAAGTTATATTCACCTTTATTGTACTTTTGCGCTCTCAACTATATATTGTTGCGTTGTTTTGCATGAATTCGGAAGAATGATATATTATTGACATTTGCATCTAGTAATTTTGGCAGTTACGAAAATATTTTGTTCTGTGTTTTTGTGAATGACATTGTCTATTGTGATGCGGTGTGCTGACGGTGGTAGCTAGACTGTGGTTGCTAGCAGGTCAGATAGAAGGTCCCGGGTATTTGTTTTTTTTTTTTTGTGTAGTTTGGTTGGGGTTTTGTTGTGTTGGTTTTGGTTTTTTGTGTTTGTCAATTGTTCCATCAGTGTTTTTTTGCGCTGGCGGTTCTTTTGCGGTGTGTGGTCGCGGTCTGGTATTTGTAGGTTTCCTTGTGGTCCCTTGTTTGTAGATGCTTGATTGGTAACAATTTGGTGGATTATTAAAAGGTATTTGTGATTCGTATTTAAGACATCTTAAACATTTGAATGCCGAGTTGTTGTTGTTATGCAGGCTCCGAGACAGTCGGTCATGTCAGGGAGATAGTGTTCAGAAAGGGACAATGTGGAGATGAAAACTTGTGTAAGTGTGATGATGTGTTTTGTTAGAGCATTTGATTTTAATACACCAGATATGAGGTTGCTGTCCTTGGATGGTGTGGTTGAGTGCTCTAGATATATAAAGGAACTTGTGGTGTGTTCAATTAGTGTAAGCTCGTTGGGTGTGGGTTTCTGGTGATTGTTGTTTTCGGGTTGTTTGTGTTGTGGTTTGTGTGGTGTTGGTGCTCATTGTGGTTTTGCGTCGGGCTGTTGGGGCCTGTCAGATAGTGTATGGTGTGTCCCAATTATTTGATTAATCGAATCTCTTAATTAATAGTCGTGGGAACGTGTTAGATCGATGTTTGCGATTAAAACTTAATTTAATATCTTGGGAACTGTAAACAATATTAGTGGGTAATTAAAAATCTAAACCTGTGGATTCATGTTAGACGTGTGCTAAGGCAATTTAAGCCAGCCTGTGTTAACTTTGTGGTGTAACACTGGTTAGGTTCCAGATTAAGCAGTCAACAGATATAAAATCACCAGTGCGAAGTCTAGGCCCACTCGTAACCATAACCACTCGTGGTTTGTATAAGATTCGTATCTTGGCCAATGGAAATATCGTCACTGAATAAAATGAGTGATAAATAACACAGAACCTAATGTCTTTGACTCCAGTACTCTGTCTTTGCAGCACAGTCCTCAGTACTTCTGTTGTAACAGTTTGTGCCACGACAGACTTCCAGTGCTGAGTTTACTGATCTTATCGCACACACGCCTTCAAAATGATGTTGCTCAAACTTATCTGTTGTTTAGCCAGCTGCTCCTACAGAGTAGATCACATTTCCTTGAATTTTCTGCTAGATTGTTTCTCTCCTCCTTTAAAATGTGCCTCACAATCTAACAGTAGCTCTGAATGTTGTCACTTTGTGCCAGGAAACATCTTGGCATTGACTTTCAGTCCAGGATTTGAAATGTGTACTGGCTAGAGGTCAACCATGTAAAGACAGACAGTGCACAGGAGTGATTTGTAACAGGAGGACAATAGCAAGAGTGAAAGGGAGGGTTTACACAGTGGTAGTGAGACTTAGAGGTGGCAAAGCTGAAGACCAGGATAGACGAGGTTAGAGATGGAGGAAATAAAGGAGTAAAAGACCAAAGATAAGATTAATGGATGCAGTGAAGGAAAACATCCAGCGGGTTGGTGTGACAGAGGAAGATAACTGGGAGAGATGGAGGAAAATGATCTGCAGCCCCTGAAGGGAGCGGCCGAAAGAAGACGACGACTGACATTCCACAGAAAGTTGCTCATTTCAGCTCCTTTCTGTTGTTGTCTTTCAGTCAGGAAGAGCGACCTAGTTTTGCAGAGTTATGTCCACTATGTCCGCTTACATAAAGCCATGTCATTGTGTTGGATTCCAGCAATTCTTGTTCCAAAGAAAACAACCTGAATCCCTGTGAGAGCAGCTGTAAAGCACCTCTACAAGACAACTTTTTAAATGGTTATGGTCAGTTATTATTCATTATTACTGTATTTTATTGAATGACAGTACCAATAAGATGGTCGATTTTACGCTAGAGGCCCAATGAGACAGGGTGTCATTAATTGTGGAGCAACTGCAGCTGTAGTAACAGGATCAGTACTGAGCAGAATGGAAGAATATTTAGGCTTTATCTGTTTTATCTGTGACAAGCTGTTCTCATCTTTATCCCTGCCATCTCTGCTTTACCGTCAGCAACTTGGATATCAAATTCAAACCAGTCTGACGGGTCAGTGTGGGCTCGCATGAGCTGGGAGAGAACGCAGCAGTGGGTAGGAGTCAGTTGCTGCAACTTTAATGCAAGTCGCCTGACATTCAGTTTACTTGTTTAGTCCAAATTAAATGTTGCTCCTGTATTCTGTCCTGCTGGGCGTGAAGAGGAAAAGATGACAGAGATTTTTCAACCTTTCCTTTCAAATATAACATCTAATTCTGAGACAGAGGTATGAAGGGAATCTGCTGGAATGGGCAGCAGGTCTTTGCTGCAGTTTAATTACCACCTCTATAAGTCTCAGCATGTTTTCATGAAGTTGTTTTCCCCTTGTTGGCTTTAACCTCAAAGAATAGTTTTGTCAATGTCATCTAAGAAGCACCCTGATAACTGTAATTCTGGTAACTTGAATAAACTTGAAAGAACTTGAAAAACACTTTTTACTGGACAGATGGGATCATCCCAGCACACTCTCTACTCTCAGAGTGAGATGGTTCTTGTTGGATACCACACATCATAGTCCTCCAGGTAAGATGGTTGTCAGTCTCTTTAGGCCTAGCTTCCCGCTCCACTGATGTTTCTGAAAAATCCAGGACATCAGTAAATGTGGCGACGAGTAAATGAGGTTCAAGTAATTGTAGACACCATTGCCACCTGGTAAACGATGACAAGAAGTCTTTAGCTCCCCCTTAAAATTGTTATTTACATTCTGGCTGAGTGTGCTCCGCAACAAAAGATAAGACAGAAAACAGACACGTGCTCTGCAACATCAGTTTCACAAACGGCTGCTCTGTTTTCCATTAGTCACTAGGGGGCAGCAGTGGACCACTACAGAATAAACTTTAATCCAAACTAATGCTATAATAATAAACTGCAACAGTCTACTCTGTTATTTTAACACAGATATATTTTTATTTTATATATATTTTATTTTATATATATATACATACATATTTGCACGATTAAGCCTACATTTGAATGCTGTTTTTAATATTAATTATTTAGTTGCTCTCAAATCTGAGCTGCAGCTGAAGGAATAAAAACTAAAACCATCTGTCAAACATTAATATAATACTCAGTTATAGTCCATCAGTTTATCTTTGTCCTGATGATACAGTTGTGATATTGGCAAGTTTATTAAATTACACGATCTGCATTTTTGAGTAGATTAGTACTGACCTCGCTTAAAGTATTCATACAGTGCTTTTAATATTAAACCTTCAGCCCTCCTGCAGCCAGTATACTTCCATCCATAGTTGTGACTGGTCGGATGCTGCCGTGTGACCAGGCCAGTTGCTAGATTGGGAGAACTGAGTTGACAACCAGCTTTGTGTAACCTTTAATAAGGGTAAAGTAAATTCAGATGATAGAAAGCTACTCTAGATATTTGTTTAACTTGCTTCATAGTCTAAGGCGCGTATTTACCTGGATTATTTTCTCACATCTTAAATTTTGTGTTTATTTTCAAGCTTTTTTTTCGTTCTTTGAGCTTGCCTGCCCCTCGTTCGTTTTTCAGTGCAGTATTCCCACATCTGTCCTGTTATCTAATCCAACTCTAGTATATAGAGCTTCTTGTTGTCAAGATGTCTGTTCTGTTATCATGTTAGAGCTTCTTTAATCGTAAAGTTTGCTTTACTATTTGCAGTTGATTTGGATTCCCTCCTTTTTTCATTTTAAATCACACAGTTTACGAATTATGCTCTGATTCCTCACAAACCCAGTCTGACAAGCATGTAAATATGAGTCTAGCAAGCTTGTTGAATTTTGAACCTAATATGCTGCATACATTTTATCAAGAGGTACACAAATTTTAACAGCAAAAGTCACTAATAAATGCCAGAACAGATTTTAACAAAGAAGCCAAGAAGAATAACATCTGTAATTTAAAGGTAATCCTAACTACAGAGAAACCACTCGGCACTGGGGGGAAAAAAACCTTTAACGAGGGCCCCTGACAATAAGCCACTACGGTCCACTCTCCATCATAAACTGGCACACACTGATCCTCGAGGAGTTGCAGCCCTTCACCAAATAGCCAGTCGATCTGTCATTCGAATATAATGATAATAAGTTAACAGCGGGAACATTAAGACAAATATCTTAAGACAATACTCCAATTCTGCAAATGTTTAAAACCAACAGATACTACATTTGGCACATTCCCTTTCACCAACCTTACCATAAAAAGATGTCATAAAGACTCAGACTGGTTTTGCAGTTCCTGGGCCTTTGCCAACTGGAGGCCAGGTGTAGCCGGGAGGAGAGGTGAGAAACAAATTAGATGCAACTCTTTCCACGATTTAAAAAAATAATCTGGTGGCAATATACACAGCGGTTAGATTAAAGACACTGCAGCATACATATTAAACAAATATGTAAGACTGCTTTCTTCCATTTGCGCAACATCTCTAAAATTAGAAATATCCTGTCTCAGAGTGACGCTGAAAAACTAGTTCATGCATTTATTACTTCCAGGCTGGACTGACTGTAATTCATTATTATCAGGATGTCCAAAAAACTCACTGAAAAGCCTTCAGCTAATCCAAAATGCTGCAGCAAGAGTCCTGACAGGGACTAGAAAGAGAGAGCATATTTCTCCTGTTTTGGCTTCCCTTCATTGGCTTCCTGTTAAATCCAGAATTGAATTCAAAATCCTGCTCCTCACATACAAGGTCTTAAATAATCAGGCCCCATCTTATCTTAATGACCTTGTAGTACCATATCACCCTATTAGAGCACTTCGCTCTCGCTCTGCAGGCCTACTTGTTGTTCCTAGAGTATTTAAAAGTAGAATGGGAGGCAGAGCCTTCAGTTTTCAGGCCCCTCTTCTGTGGAACCAGCTTCCAGTTTGGATTCAGGAGACAGACACTATCTCTACTTTTCAAGATTAGGCTTAACTTTCCTTTTTGCTAAAGCATATAGTTAGGGCTGGACCAGGTGACCCTGAATCCTCCCTTAGTTATGCTGCAATAGACGTAGGCTGCCGGGGGATTCCCATGATGCATTGAGTTTTCCTTTCCAGTCACCTTTCTCACTCACTATGTGTTAACAGACCTCTCTGCATTGAATCATATCTGTTATTAACCTCTGTCTCTCTTCCACAGCATGTCTTTATCCTGTCTTCCTTCTCTCACCCCAACCGGTCGCAGCAGATGGCCCCGCCCCTCCCTGAGCCTGGTTCTGCCGGAGGTTTCTTCCTGTTAAAAGGGAGTTTTTCCTTCCCACTGTCGCCAAAGTGCTTGCTCATAGGGGGTCATATGATTGTTGGGTTTTTCTCTGTATCTACTGTACAATATAAAGCACCTTGAGGTGACTTTTGTTGTGATTTGGCGCTGTATAAATTAAATTAATTGAATTGAATTGATCTTCGAGTGACACTCAATGTGTCCATGACCCCAGCAAACAAGAAGGGCCAGATGCAAACTTGGATGGTAGATTTCTGTTGTGTTCTTGGTCTTTACTTATCTGTTTGTTTGTGATATAAAAAATAATGTTTTGTGTCCCAAATATTGGCAGCACAGCAAGTATTTTGTTAACATTGCTGACTTACGATAGGTGTGCCCTTTACTAAAGCACATTATTAACGTGGAAATATAACATAATTAATGCATCATAACATGTACGTCATTAAAGCACGTAATTATGTTAAACTTCTGTTTGTTGTAAATGAAGACATGTCGAGCATCTTGAACAACTGCATCTAAAAAATTTTTTAAAAAACCCAACCCTGATGATACTTCCCTCTTCCACGCGCGGTACATATTTCCTCATTCCTTCACGTTCACGCTTCTTTAAATTTGTGAGTGGGTGTAACCAGCTTGTCTGTCTGCAAGCTCAGACAAACTTTTCTATTATTGCAGACAGAGACACATGTTGGCTGTGCATGAAACTGAGAGCTGAAATGGCAGAGCTAGAATTTCAGAACGACCACATAAAATTCTGCTGTTCGATCTGTTGGATCTACTGAAGGATCCACACTATTCCCTGTGGACACACTACTGCATGAACTGTATAAAGCCCACTGGGATGAGAGAGAAAAAGAAGCTCACAGCTGCCCTCAGTGCAGACAGACTTTCACAGCGAGGCCTGTCCTGATGAAAAACACCATGTTAGCAGATTTAGTGGAGGAGCTGAAGAAGACTGGACTCCAAGCTGCTCCTGCTGATCACTGCTATGCTGGACCTGAAGATGTGGCCTGTGATGTCTGCACTGGAAGAAAAATGAAAGCCTTCAAGTCCTGTTTATTCTGTCTGGCATCTTACTGTGAGAAACACCTTCAGCCTCATTATGATGTGGCTCCATAAAGAAACACAAGCTGGTGGAGCCCTCCAAGAAGCTCCAGGAGAAATCTGCTCTCGTCATGATGAGGTGATGAAGATGTTCTGCCGTACTGATCAGCAGAGTATCTGTTATCTCTGCTCTGTGGATGAACATAAAGGCCACGACACAGTCTCAGCTGCAGCAGAAAGGACTGAGAGGCAGAGAGAGCTGGAGGTGAGTCGACAAAACATCCAGCAGAGAATCCAGGACAGAGAGAAAGATGTGAAGCTGCTTCAACAGGAGGTGGAGGCCATCAATCAGTCTGCTGATCAAACAGTGGAGCACAGTGAGAAGATCTTCACTGAGCTGATCCATCTCATCCAGAAAAGAAGCTCTGATGTGAAGCAGCAGATCAGATCCCAGCAGGAAACTGAAGTGAGTCGAGTCAAAGAGCTTGAGGAGAAGCTGGAGCAGGAGATCACTGAGCTGAAGAGGAAAGATGCTGAGCTGAAGCAGCTCTCACACACAGAGGATCACATCCAGTTTCTACACAACTACCCCTCACTGTCAGCACTCAGTGAGTCTACAGACTCATCCAGCATCAATATCCGTCCTCTGAGCTACTTTGAGGATGTGACAGCAGCTGTGTCAGAGGTCAGAGATAAACTACAGGACATTCTGAGAGAGGAATGGACAAACATCTCACTGACAGTCACTGAAGTGGATGTTTTACTGTCAGATCCAGCAGAGCCAAAGACCAGAGCTGGATTCTTAAAATATTCATGTGAAATCACACTGGATCCAAACACAGCAAACAAACAGCTGTTATTATCAGAGGGGAACAGAAAAGCAACATTAATGAATCAACAACAGTCTTATTCTGATCATCCAGACAGATTCACTATAATGTGGTCAGGTCCTGAGTAGAGAGAGTCTGACTGGACGTTGTTACTGGGAGGTGGAGTGGAGAGGGAAGGAGTTATGTAGCAGTCGCATACAAGATATCAGCAGAACAGGGAGTGGGAATGAATGTAATTTGGACGTAATGACAAATCTTGGTCATTAGATTGTACAACAACAGTTATACATTTTGGTACAACAACATCCAAACTCTGTCTCAGGTCCTCGTTCCTCCAGAGTAGGAGTGTACCTGGATCACAGAGCAGGTATTTTGTCCTTCTACAGCGTCTCTGAAACCATGACTCTCCTCCACAGAGTCCAGACCACATTCACTCAGCCGCTCTATGCTGGACTTTGGTTTATGCTTTGGAAACACTGCTAAGTTTACTAAACTGAAACAGACATGTTTTTAAAGTTGTACATGAGTTGGCTCACATCTGTATATTATTAATTATTTTGTATCTGTAAATGATCACAATCAGTGTTGTAGCAGTTCTGCACTGTACTAGATAACGTTTATCTACAAGTTGTTCTAAAGGTCTGTTGAATATTTGTATGTATTCAAGTGGTATTTGTTTTTATTTAGTTACTGTTTTTTTGTTTTTTGTTTTCCAATTCATCGGCTGGGACAGAGACAATACAGACCCTATATATATATATATATATATATATATATATATATATATATATATATATATATATATATATATATATATATATATATATTTTTTTTTTTTATTTTTATTTATTTATTTTTTTTAAGAAATGAATTATTTATATGAACATATACTCATTTTGAATTTCATGCCAGAACAGTTTTAAGTTTTCTTTTAAATAGAATCTTTTAGAATTTGCTCTTTAAACTGAGGACAGTATTTGTGTCCACAGAATATTTCCTCAGGTGGTTTTATCAAGTCAGTTACATAACACCTCAGTACCTGGTGTTTAGTTGTTTTTGTATGTTTGAGTCAGAGGTTTTTGATTGGGTGCCAGGTCTACACTGCAGACAGACCAGCTTGAGGTGGTTATCTTTTTCTGTGACGTTATGCTGTAGATATACTGGAAGGATGTGGTGCAGCATTTTTGAACGATTACAGCCTTCCTAAAAACATGAACATTTCCTTCAGAAATATTTTCCATTAACCGTTAAACTATTTGCACCTGCAGTCTTTAAAGTGGAGGTGAACTTTTATCATTACTTTTGAAAAGCTAACAACAAACAGAAAATCTGCTTGTTACGTTTAAGAAGTCAAAATAATCTCATCTCTGCCATTTGTTGTTTTTGTTGTCAGCTTTTACATTGTTCTAAAACAAATGAAGCTTAAATAAAAGAAATAATCAGTGTTGTTGAGAGCTCGTGAACTTACAAACTGACTTGTGTATTCAAACCTTTGCACTCACTCTCACACTTTCTGTTTTTCAACATCAAAACATAATTATCCCTGAAACCTAATAACTGGTTGGGTCTCCCGTACCAGACATCAACGCCAGTCAAGAATTTATTGTTACTAACGATGAGTCTTTTGCATTGTCATGGAGCAATTTTGGCTGACTCCTTATTGCAGAATATCTTGAGTCAGAATCAAAATCATCTTTATTTGGTCAAGTTTGTGCACAAAAAAGGAATTTGACTCTGGTTCACTTTATTCTGCATGCAAAAAAAGAACCACACCCAAGCATCTCAATCTGATTTAAATCCAGACTTTGATTACGCAATTCCACAACTT